ACTGTTTTATATTAAAGGAGACTAACAAAGTATGACAACTAAATGCAATGCGTGATCTTTGATTGGACTCTGAATTAAATAAGAAGCTATGGGGCCGGCTCCATGGCCCAGTGGTTAAGTTCGCGTGCTCCGCTGCGGCGGCCCAGGGTTCGGATCCTGGGCGCGGACATGGCACCGCTTGTCAGGCCACATTGAGGCGGCGTCCCACATCCCACAACTAGAAGGACCTGCAACTAAGATATAGAACTATGTACGGCGGGGGGGGGGGGGGTGGGGGGGGCGGGGCCGGGGGTTGGGAAATAGAGCAGAAAAAAAAAAAAAGATTGGCAACAGTTGTTAGCCCAGGTGCCAATCTTTAAGAAAAATAAATAAATAAGAAGCTATAAGGCATATTATTGGGACAACTGGGGAAATTTAAATATAAATTGATTGTTAGATATGTAGTTATGTTTATATTAAATTTCCTTAGTATGAACATTATATTGTAGTTATATGTAAGGATAGCATGATTCTTAGGAAATACATGCTGAGTGTTTAGGTGTGAAAGGTCAAAATATACAAATAACAGTTTAATGTTTAGGAAAAAACAGATAGATATAAACAGATAAATAGATGAAAGAGAGAAAGTGGGAGGGAGAGAGAGAATGTAGCAAAATATTAACAAATGATGTGCCTAGATGAAATGTAGTAGGGGTGTTTATTAACTATTCTTTCAACTTTTTCATAGGTTTGGCATTTTCTAAAATAAAAAATTCGGTGAAAAAATAAGATAAATGAAACATACAGTAGAGAGAAAAGAAAACTGACAGAGTAGAGCCAAGAGATGGAATCTAGAGAATGAAGGCCAGGATTAATTTGAGACAGGAGAAGAGCCACTCTGAAACTAGAGGATAGGAGGCAGGGGTGACTGCCAGTAAATATTAGCGTGTGGGTGTGTGAGCAGAAGCTGAAGGAGTTTGTGCCTACTGGTCTCAACTCCCTGTGAAGTTGAAAGCAAGGCCATTTATTGAGAGACAAGGCTTGGGGTAGTGGTGAAGGATTGACGTAGCAACTGTAGCAAGTGGGAGAGGTCAATGACATACAAAGTGATGGCAAAGTAAAGTGGAGGACCCAGGCAGGATTGCAGAACCTGAATTAGTAGTGGCACCAGCTGCGTGTTATGTGGTTTCTCCAGAACCATTCAACAGAAGAAAGTGGATGGGTGACATGAGCTATAGTTGTGAATTTATAGGGCAACTACAACAGTAGAACAAGGAGTTGAGGGTGCAGGCAAGAGAGGTTAAGTTGATGTAACAGGTTCAGGAATTGATAGGAAAGTGAAATCATGAAATGAGTGGTGAACTGAGGGAAAAGGAATCAATCAAAGGACTGGAGGGCCAAGAAGGTTGATTAATAGGTACATTAAAAATTAGGAAGTGAGAGGGCTATAGAAATAAAAGACTAAGATAGGTAATTAGAATAAGATATCAGAGGTAGAACTATTCCAGCAAAGATCAAGGCTGACGTTGTGTTATGAGTACCAACTGTGGATGAAGATTTTGAGATTGTTATGATGAAAGAACTTTGAGCCTAAATCGTTCAAGTGATTCATCTATCTGTATACTGAACAGAAGCCTAGCATGAATAGTACATCCACAGGGCAATTCTAAGAGATGGCTTCCATATAAATTGCCAAATTGATACTTCATAATCAGCAAACTTGACTACTGTTAATTGAGTCCAAGGGTAGGGCATCTTACCCACAAACATCCAATCTATAGATTGGCCAAAAACTCATGAGGTGGACTGTTGGGAAAGTTCTGTCCTAAGGAAATAGATCCTCTCCAAGGAATTTAGATCTCAAGATGTGAACAGTTGAACAGGTATAGCAAGAGTAGAGACCATAAAGAAAAGAAAAGCAGGGGTGCACCAGACACAAGAGTACCATGCTGGTAGAGTCCTGGGATAGGAATTGATCAAGAACTTCCTAATGCTGGAAGAGTGGCAGCTAGATCTACATTGGGTCCTAAGGCCATCCAGTTCCTAAACTGTTCCAATCTCTGTGAAGCCTACATATGCAGCCCTTCTTGTAGAATCAACTGAGGTTTCTGATTTTCTGTGGGGTGCAACTGTGAGGGTCCTATTTTTACATTTATCGTTAGAATGTATCACAGGCTTCAGTTAGAGTGCTTCCAGTGCAAGTAGTAGAAATCCTAACTCAGTGTGCCTTAAACAATAAAGGAAATTCATCTCAAATAACAGGAATGTCAAAGGTGCAGCTTTATGCACAGTGCAAGCAGGGCTGAAGCTCCGTGTCGTCCCTCACTTCAGGCCTCCCTCTGTTGGCTTTGTTATCCACCTGGCTTCCTTCATGGCCTCCAGTTGGCTGTAAACAGCAATCAGAGCAACATGCTCCTTGTTCACATCCATTGGAGAGGAAGAGGGCCTCTTCCCAACCATATAATAAAAATCCTTCCTTTCAATGTGATTGTACCAATTTTGGGCAGATGCCAAACTTTTGGGTGGCCAAAGAAATGCCACGTGATTAGGTCAAGCTAGAATTTCTGAACCAATAATGGCAATCACCACAATTGACTTAAACCAACTGGGACCTACTCTTTGAGCTGGGGATGGTCATCTCTTTCTGAGTGACATGCGATATGTAAGGGGAGATGTGGACACCTGAACAAAATTGGGATTTTATTAAGAAGGAAGAAGGAAGGAAATGTTTACTGAAGGCAAACAATAGTATTCACTACACCTCATTCTCAAACACTCAAACCTGCATCTGAGGTGGAACTACACAAGTTGAGCTATGTTTCAGACTGGAGGAAAAGTGTCCAAACAGTTTTTCAAAGTTTTCCTCAATTAACCCGCTTTACTATTTCTCCATTCTCCTTTGATTTTCCCACATAAAAATATGTAACACTTAATACATTCAAAGGTGTACATTTATATTAATATTTAAATATATATTATATGTGTGTTTAAATGTATACCTTTGAATGTATGAAATTGTGTAATATATATGGATAATATAAAATGTTGCATATATAGAGTATATTTGTTATAAAGAATATTTCTAAAATGAACATACTTGCACTCATAACCTGATTTAAGAAAAATGGTATTGCCCGTAACTTTGAAGCTTTCTATGTAATCATCTCTATTGCATTCCCTTCCCTCGACTCCACCCCACCTCTGAGGTGATCACTGTCCTGCATTTTGTATTTGTCATCCTCTTGATTTTCATTATAGTTTTACCCATTACTTGTATACCTTAACAATATGTTTGTAATGTGTATGTTTTTGAGCTGCCTATAAATAAAATCATGCTGTATATGGTCTTCTTTTTCTTGTGATAAAATATACATAAAATTTAGCATTTTAACCATCTTCAAGTGTACAAGTCAGTGGCATTAAGTACAATCACATTGTTATGCAACCATCACCACCACCCAACTCCAAAATTTTTTAATTTTCCCAAACTGAAACTCTTTACCCATTAAACAATAACTCCCAATTACCCCCTTCCCCCAGATCCTGTTAATCATGATTCTATTTTCTGTCTGCATGAATTTGACTACTCTAGGAACCTCATATAAGTGAAATCATACAGTATTTGTCATTTTGTTACTGGCCTATTTCACTTAGCCTAAGGTTCAAGGTTCATCCATGTTATAACATGTATCAGAATTTCCCTCCTTCTAAGGCTGAATAATATTTCATAGTATATATATACCACATTTTGTTTATCTATCCATCTGGCAATGGACACTTGGGTTGCTTCCACCTTTTGGCTATCAAGAATAATATGGCTATGAACACGGGTATCCAAATAGCTGTTCAAGTTTCTGCTTTCACTTCTTTGGGGTATATACCCAGTGTATATAGTCTTTTGCAACTTTCCCTTTTTGCTGAGCTATGTTTGTGAGATTCATCCAGTTAATATGTATAGCTGTAGTTCACTCACCATAATTGCTGTAGGATATTTCATTGTGTGACTATTAAACAATTTGTTTATCCATTCTCGTATAGAAGGCCATTTGTTTCTGATTGTTGCTATTACAAACAGGGCTGCATTCTTTTCTATGCCTTCTTGTATGTATGTACAAAGTATCTCCAGCCCAAGATACATACTTAGAAGTGAGATTGTGTCATAAGGCATTGTGTATCTTCAGTTCTATCAGATATTGTCAGGTTACTCTTTAAGTGCACATCTGTCCTCCCATCAACAGTGTGTGAGAGTTCCTGTTGCTCCACAGCCTCATTAGCACTTGGTATTGTCAGTGTGGCAGATACTGCGGGTTGTCCCCAGTACCTACCCTCCCCTTCTTCCTTTAATAATAGTTCTCATGAGTTTTGTCTGTGTTGCCCAGGTAGAAACTTTATCTCCCAGCCTTCCTCCAGCTAGGCATGGCCAACCAACTAAACTGTAGCCAACAGGATGTAACTGTATCTCTTCTGGGTTGTGACCTTAAAAGACATGCTCCTTAAAAGATATGTTCTTCTAACCCATTCTACCTCTCCACTGGCTAGGATGCAGATTTGATGGCAGGAGCCAGAGCAGCCACCTTGAACCCAGAGACAGAAGCTTCATATTGAACATGACAACTTAGGGCTGCTTACCTCTGAACTGTTCTATGAATGAGAAACAAACTTTTGTTTAAGCCATTGTACTTTATTGTCTCATTGTTACAGCAGCTTAGACTGCATCCTAATTAATACATTAGTCCTTAAATTTTAAAGTCATTCCCAATTTGGCTGTGCTCAGAAAGCCTGTGTTTGTTCTCTCTCAAGATCTTTTTGGTGATGATCTTTTTACATTTGATCTATACTGCTAAACTCGTTTTTATGCTCCTGTCTTTGAGCCCGTTTGCCTGACAATGGAGGCCCTTGCCCAGGGTAGTATATATTTGTTGTTTTTGCTTGCCCACATCCACTTCTCCTTCCTAACAGTTCTTGGAGTTTTAAATTTTCCTAAATTGGGTGCAGTTCTATTAGAATTTAGATCAGTGTACCTGGTCGTTTCACTATAGATGCTGAAGAGAGCACTGGAGTCTCATTCTTCCAGATCCTTCCTCTCACCACCCCATTTATCTGAGACAGCATTGAAAGTGGCTGAAGGGATAAAAAAAAAAAAAAAAAAAGAGTTGAACCTTGTTTCTTACACCTTCCAGAGCTTTGATGGTAGAATAGCTTTGCCTTGGCTTTATTCCTGTTCCTAGACCTAGTTAATTACCTTCTTGTCTATTTTGTGACTTTTACAATATCTTTTCAACACATTTCTTTTAAAATTTCAGCTGTTGCTATGGATAACATCCAAAGAACTGTAATGGATACAACCATGCCCAAGTTCCAGGTTCTCCTAAACTGTGCAGATCCATTGGGAATGATTGGAAGGAGTGACCACATGCAATTGAGATTACTTATGAGCACCTTTGGGTTTCTTTAGGATAAAATGAGAACATGACTCCACGGCATTAGGAAGGGGAAAAAGTACTCACATTGTCAAGGTTATGTATGACCAGGTTATCCTGAATCTAGACACTATCCATTCAACATCCTAAGGGTGCATATGCCCAATAGCAGGTAATCTGCTTCTAGATCCTGTTTAGAACTGGTACAAGCTGCAAGAGCTAGCAGGGATTTTTATTCTACAAAATGGCATGCAAATCACCAGCCACTCAGAATATGGCTTCAAACCAGTAACCAATCAAATGCCACCTCCTCCTCCTAGCCCTCTTGCTAGTCTCCCTAGTAACAGCAAGAATGAAACACGAGGAGAGAAATGCAGCTGGGTTATAAACTTAGTCCAGAGAAGACTCCTGCTAGTTGACTTTGACGCTACTGTCAGTTAACAGCTGACTCCCTCTAGAGTCTCCCACACAAAACGTTTTGTGTGATTTGTGCTTTAATTTATCCCTTAGTTAATTCTGCATAAGAACGCCTTATGTTTTTATTGTTCTTTACTTTTTGCATTCTAGATTAGTAAAATTAGTCTTTTAAAAATGTGCCTGGGGTTGGTCATATAATGTGAAATAAGTGCTACTAAAGTGTCATGAGGACAGCATTACACAATGAGTCTTCTTTTAAAGAATTTTCTGAAGACAGAGGTTCTGTATAATGAAGATGGCTGTGATTTTTGAAAATTAGTTGTGCAGGCTAGAAGGTTTGAATGGCCAGCTATATATTAGTTCCCTGAGAGTAAGACCCTAGAGGATAGCATTCCCTATAACATCTAGAACAATTCCTAAATTTATCTTGAAACAATGAGGGGAATGTGGAATGGCATGCTTCAACAGCGTTGCTGTCTCCCAAGTAGGTGCTGAAAGACCTGTTGCTGAGGCAGAGTTTCTGGATAGAGGACCTGACAGCTAGAACCTACCATGCCGGGTGGAAAAGGAAAAGGCAAAGAGAAAGCTCTCTACCTTCCTCCACCTCATCTCATCTTTCTCTGTCTTCCACTATCATCTTTTCTTCTCCTTCCCACCTGTGTTCTTTAAAACTTTTTCAAAAATGGTAAAGTACAGCACACAAACAAGAAAGTACAAAGGATAAATGTACACCTTAATGAATTTTAACAAAGCAACTATTTGTGTAATTACCACTTACTTGGTTCAAGAAATAGGACATTGTTGGCACCTCAGAAGCCCTACTCATGCCCCCTCTCAGTCACTACCCTTTTCCTTCCTCCCAAAAGCAGCCACTACCTTCATTTTTTTAAATTGAAGTATAATTGACAAACAATATTCTATTAGTTTCAGGTGTATATCTTAGTAACTCGATATTTATATATATATTATGAAATTATCACTATGATAAGTCTAGTTACTATCTGTCACTGTAAAAAGTCATTGCAACATTATCGACTATATTCCCTATGCTGTTTTACCTTCACTTTTAACATTATCATTTCATCTTGCCTATTTTTAAACTATATGTAAAGTCAGTTATACAGTAAATATTCTTTTGAACTGCCATCGTTCAAAATTTCCTGGAAGGTACATTGAACTCTGCAAACAGAAAAGTGCACAAATCATAAATGGTACAGCTTGATGAACTTTTCACAAACTGAACCTACCTGTGTAACCAGCACCCAGATCAAGAAACAGAAAATCACCAGCAGCCCCATTTGTGTAATTACCACTTTGTGCCCCTTTTCAGTCACTATCCCTCCACGCAAGGGTAACTACTGTCCTGAATTCTAACATTATGTATCAGTTTTGTCTATTTTTGAACTCATATATGTGAAAACATATAGTATATATTCTTTTCTGTCTAGCTTCGTTTGCTCAACATTATGTTTGTGAGATTCATCTTAGTTGTTGCCTGTGGTTATAGTTCATTCTCATTGCAGTTTTGTAGTCCATTGTATAAATATACTGCAACTTGATTCTAGCATAGGTGGATGTTTGGGTTGTTTTCCAGTTTTTAGCTATTACAAATACTGCCGCTGTGAACATTCTTGTACTGTCTTCTGGTGAACATATGTATACATTTCTGTTGGTTATACATCTAGGAGTGGATTCCTGGGTCCTAGGCTATGGTTCTGTTCAGCTTTAGTAGATACTGTCAAATAGTATTTCAGAATGGCCATCCCAATTTACACTCCCACCAGCAGTGTATGAGAGTTCCATTCGTTCCTCCCCTTAGCTTGCAGCTGCGTAACTGTAATCTCTGGCTTCACCATCACATGACATTCTGTGTGTCTGTGTCTTCACGTGGCTAGCTTCTTCTAAGGATACCAGTCATATTGGATTGAGGCCTGCCCCACTCCAGTGTGACCTCGTCTTAACTAATTACACCTGCAACATCCCGATTTCCAAATAAGGTCACATTCTGAAGTACTGGGGGTTAGCACTTAAATGTATCTTCTTTTTGGGGGAAGACACAATTCAACCCATAACAGATGTGACGGTAGTAGACATCTATTCTTGATCTCAGTGGGAAAACTTTCAACTTTTCACCATTAAGTGTGATGTTTGCTGTAGTTTTTTAAGTAGATACCCTTTATAAGATTAAGGCAGTTCCCTTTTATTTCTGACTTGCTAAATTTTAAAAATCATGTTAAAAATCAAATACGATGTTGAAATTTACGACGTTTGTTTCCTGCATCTAATGAGATGATCATCCGATTTTCTCCTTTAATTAGATGTTTTTATTTTTTTAAAAAGAATTTCAGTTGAAAATGTTAACAATACAAGTAACGAGGGTTTCTGAGTTAGTAATGTTCTGATCTGGGTGCTGGTTACACAATTGTGATTGGTTTGTGAAAATTCACTAAGCTGTATACATACAATGTGTAATTTTATGTATATATGTTATACTTCAGTAAAAAGTTAAAAGAAACACAACTAAATTCCTTTTTGGGAAGGAGCAGCTCTATCTTCTGGCAAATACTTAGATGCCCCACTTTCCGCTCACATCCATCTCCTAAGAGAGGTGAAGATCTGGGTTGCTAAGATGGAAGCAAGGTCAAATCTTTAAGTGGTGCACAACTGACATACTGAAGCACTTAATATTCTCAGTTAGAGAGTTTTTTCAGAATTCGGTGTGTATCAGCTTTGTTTTTCAGTGATTCACTCAAGCCAAAGGAGTTCATGTTTAGTTTTATGCTGAGAGATTGGATTATTTTCCAGGTCGTCCTCTCTAGACAATCTTTGTATCTGGTCTTTGCTTTAGCTGAGATTCTCCAACATGAGTTTTTATGTGTTGAATTATTTTAAAGAATTCCATTTCTCCTCTTTTACAATAACCGCAGACTTTACCTTTTATATGCCTGCAGGAATCCGTGTAGTCTTAAATTCTGTCGTCAAAATAGGTCTCTAATCTTCACAGATTTGTTCCCAGACTTTTTTGTAGACTTGAATTAAGTCTATTCATTTAATTTGATAAAAACTGACATCACAATTTTTCCTCTTTTCATTCAGGACCATGGTAAGGCTCTTCATTACTGCCTGTCTAATTTTATCCCAGTTGGATATGATTCTGTATGGTTCTGTAGTTTTCTTCGTATGAATTCTACATATTTCTTATTAGAGTTATTCCTACTTGTTTCATGGTTTTTGTTGTTGTTGTTGCGATTGTTGCTATTGTGAATGGAACCTTTTTTTTTTTTTTCATTCAAAAATGAAGCCGTGGAGCGATAAGATCTCTACCACCCGCTTCAGCTGTGAGACTCTATGGTTCCTCGGTTTTATGAGAACAGTCTACTCGCACCTACATTATCCTAACCTGAAGGAAGATGGCAACAGAGAGTTGCCAAGCGAAGGGCCGCTCTATCTCGCCTTTGTTCTCCTCTCGGTGGCTACTGCGCAGGCGTAGTCGCCGCAGGACCGTCCCCGCCTTGCCGGTCGCGGGCCCAGCTCGGGAGCGCCGGCGCACTGGCGCGCTCCGTTTACACGCTCCGGGGCCTGTAGGCGCCGCGAGTTCCGGTTGTCGCCGTCGCCGCCGCAGCTCCTGGAGGTCGGTTGCGACGAGTAACGGCGCCGGGACGAGCCCTGCGCCTTCTTCTCCGCTATGTACCCAAATTGGGGCCGGTATGGCGGGAGCAGCCACTATCCGCCGCCGCCGGTCCCGCCGCCGCCGCCGGTGGCCCTTCCTGAGGCCTCGCCGGGGCCCGGGTACTCGAGCTCGACGACTCCCGCGGCCCCCTCCTCCTCGGGCTTCATGAGCTTCCGCGAGCAGCACCTGGCGCAGCTCCAGCAGCTGCAGCAGATGCACCAGAAGCAGATGCAGTGCGTGCTCCAGCCCCATCACCTTCCTCCGCCCCCCCTGCCGCCCCCGCCGGTGATGCCGGGGGGCGGCTATGGGGACTGGCAGCCACCGCCGCCACCGATGCCCCCGCCACCTGGGCCGGCCCTCAGCTATCAGAAGCAGCAGCAGTACAAACACCAGATGCTCCACCACCAGCGAGACGGGCCTCCTGGTTTGGTTCCCATGGAGCTGGATTCCCCCCCTGAATCGCCACCTGTACCGCCGGGGTCTTATATGCCCCCGTCTCAATCTTACATGCCCCCGCCTCAACCGCCACCTTCGTACTACCCCCCGGCCTCGTCTCAGCCCTACCTGCCTCCTGCTCAGCCGTCCCCTTCTCAGTCCCCACCTTCTCAATCCTACCTGGCGCCCACCCCTTCTTATTCTTCCTCTTCCTCCTCCTCGCAATCCTATTTGAGCCATTCCCAGCCCTACTTGCCGTCTTCTCAGGCATCTCCTTCCCGCCCCTCCCAAGGCCATTCTAAATCCCAGCTACTAGCTCCACCACCATCGTCCATCCCTTCTGGGAATAAGACAACTGTCCAGCAAGAGCCTTTGGAGAGTGGGGCCAAGAACAAGAGTGCTGAACAGCAGCAAGCTGCCCCTGAGCCGGATCCCTCTACGATGACTCCACAGGTAAGAAAGCATCTGCCTGAGCGGCATCTTCACCTAGAGGACCCTAAGTGAGCAGGCCTCAGGGCTCTAACCAGTGCTTAGCCTAATTCCAACACACAATGACTAGCTAATTTACACTCCAAAGGATTCCATAAGATTCAGAGGTCTGACATCCCAACTTTTTAATTAGCTAAAGGTGGATTATTAAAAGAGCAGTGTTTGAAGATGTTTCTGGGCACCACAGAGTTGTGGGGTGGCTCAAGAGTTACTTCTCAGATACATTCTTTGGTTTTCTTGCTGTTGCAAAGGGCTTTGTTTTAAAATTGTATTTAAACTAAAATTTCCATTTGAGAAGCAGCATAAAAAAGAAACTTCTCAAAGGACTGACACTTGAAATGCATATAAACCTTATGACCAGTTAGCTTCTTTAAAAAAATTATTTAAGGGCCGCTGATAGCTGTCAGCTTCCTGAATTAAGAGCTCTCAGCGAATGAAGGATGGAAATCTTGTTCTTATCAGGAGAATCCTAATTATGCTTATAGATACCTATGCAATACATAGAGGAGTGTCTACACATTTGACTCTTTTGGGAGTCTGTTGGTCATTTAATAAGTTGACCCATACATCCTTTTCTCACAGCACTTAAAGGTAGCTTTGAGACATACCCAGTTTGCTGCATTGTATTGTTACCATTCACTCCAGAGTAATAAATAGCCTTGGAATTTGGCCAAAGTAAAAAAAAGTTTGTGATATCTCTTCATTCATGAGAGAGCCATTCCTCTAAACTTCTGTTTGAAGTGATAACTTCCCACAGAACAGTCAAAAGTTGATAGGGTAACAGTAATAAATGAATTTTTCCCTTAAAAAAGAAGATAGAGCTAAAGTGGAATAAATCATTTGTTATAATTTCTTAAAATATACACTTCCAGCAATTACTAGTCTACCTAAGGGTCCATAATGAAAGAAACAATCTTTTCATCTACAAGCTCAGATTTAGATATAAAAGAATTCCGGGGGCTGGACCTGTGGCCGAGTGGTTAAGTTCGCACGCTCCACTGCAGGCGGCCCAGTGTTTCATTGGTTCGAATCCTGGGCGCGGACATGGCACTGCTCATCAAACCACGCTGAGGCAGCGTCCCACATGCCACAACTAGAAGGACCCACAATGAGGAATAAACAACTATGTACCGGGGGGGGGGCTTTGAGGAGAAAAAGGAAAAAATAAAATCTTTAAAAAAAAAAAAAAAAGAATTCCGAAAGAAAGGGATGCAGTATTCTCATTTTGCCGTGGTTTGGCGTTAGAAATTAAGAACAGGAGAAAACACTTGAGATGCTGGGGTAAAACAGTAGAATAAGTGATTCTTTTGGCTTACACCAGACCACCACCTTACCAGGTTATTTCCCCCAGATTCCTTTGTTATGGAGACAGAATTTCTGTTCCTCTTCCCACCCTACCCTGAAATTTCCAGTGCTTTTGTTGTCAAACACTGTCAGAGTTGGTCCAAGCCAAAATATGACATTTATGTCCTCATCTCCACTAGATTGTTTTTCTGGCGTTTTAGACAAGGGAGTTGTTTTTTGGCGGGGAGAGGGAATCAGACCAGTCCTTAACAGAAATACAAAGAACACTGCTTTTGCTTTTCTGCCTTTGTACCCTTGTCTATAGTGAACTTATTTTAGTGCTTTGAATATTCAGTGCTTCCAGTTCTTTCATGAGAGCCAGAAAGAAAGTGGTGGAAGATGAGGCTTAGGAGGTGTGAACCGGCCTGATCAGGAAGGGCCTTGTAAGCCTGTTTAGGCTTCCTTACTTCTGTCTAGAATTCATCCCAACTTCTTCAGCACTCTCTCTCCTCTTAATGTTGTATTGCTTTCAAGGCACATCTCATATGTCAGGGTCTCCATGAAGCTGTGCCTGAACTCACCTATTTGGTTTGGTTCTGTTCAGGTTGTAAGTCCTTTGCAGACCGGGACTAACTCACTCATCTTTTTATCTCCTGTAGCACCTAGGACAGTGCCTTGCAAATTATAGGCTCTCCACAAAGATTTGTTGAATAAGATAGAAGAGTTGTCAGACTTAGGATAGTTAGTTGACTGGATGATAAACATTTTCTTCATGCCAGTGCCAATCTCTGACAACCTTTTTGCATATTCATTATTCTTTGATTCATATTTAATTTGGAGGTCTGTCATTAAAAATTTTTATGGTGAAAGATTTTAAACACACAAAAATAGAGATAATGGTATGATTCCTCCGACATACTCATCATTCAGATTCAACAACTATCAAGGGCCGGCCCCATAGTAGTGGTTAAATCGGGTGTGCTCCCCTTCAGCATCCTGGCTTCACAGGTGAGGATCCCAGGCATGGACCTATGCCACTCATCAGCAATGCTGAGGCGGCGACCCACATATAAAGTGGAGGAAGGCTGGCACGGATGTTAGCTCAGGGCTAATGTTCCTCGGCAAAAAACCCCAAAAAGCAGCTATCAAGATTTTGTCGTATTTTCTTCACCTAGGCCTTTTTTGTTGTTCTCAGGAAATATTTTAAAGTGAATCTTAGATCTCATGTCATATCATTCCTACATTCTTAATTAGACATCTTTAAAAAAAAAAGAATCTTTTCTTAGGTAAATACATTATAACACCTAACAAAATTAACAGCAGTTTCTTTGTATCATCTAATACCCAGTCTGTTCAGATTTCCCCTGCTGTCTCATCATACTGATGGAACTAAAAATAATTCCTTGCTATCTTCCGTGTTAAAATTTCCCCGTGGAGTCAATGATGTTTTGTTGGTTCAAATCGGAATCCAGTATAGACATTTTTGGGCAGAATAATTCTTTGTTGGGGGGGCTGTCTTGTGCATTATAGGATGTTTAGTAGCAACTCTGGCCTCTACCTACTAGATGCCAGTGGTACTCCCACTGGTGACAACCAAAACTGTTTCCAGACACTGCCAAATATCCCCCAGAGGTAAAAATCATCCTCAGTTGAGAACTCCTGATTTAGATCACTCTCTCCTATTCTCTTTTTCTACCCCATGCCATTGAACTTGATGAAAAATCTGTGTCATTTGTCCTGTAGAATGTCCCGCATTCTGGATTTGTCTGCTGTCTCATGGTGTCATTTGACTTGTTCCTCTCTCTTCCGTGTTTTTCGTAAACTAGAAGTTAACTCTGACAGCTTCTTAGATTTAAGTTCGCCTTTTTTTGGCAAGTATACTTCATAACCGAGGTAGTGCTGTGTTCTTCATTTGCAGCCCATGAGGAGGCGCGCAATGCCTGGTTGTCCCACTGTTTGTGAGTGGTGCTGAGATTGATCAGGAGGTGACAGTCTGGTCCCTCCACTGTAAAGCTGCTCATTAATCTTGCATCTGATGTTTGAGCTAGTGGTTCATCCATCGATGATCTTTGCCAGAGTCAATTATTTCTTCTTTAAGTGGTTGCACTATGGTGATTTTTTTCTGCCATTTCTTCTACATTTACTATATGGAATTCTGTACAGAGAAACTTTCATTCATGAACCAGGGCTATTTGATTGGCCATACAGTTAGTATAGGAAAAACAGGATAAATACTTGATATTCTTCCATTTAATTTCTATTTGTAGAGTAAAGCATTGTTGATTTAACGGAATATGTCTTTTTTGAAGAATTAACTTTTCTGTGTGTTTAAAGGACTAGGTAAAGTGCATAGTAGTCTTTTTTCATGAATTGTGATTTTATTTATCCTTTTATTCTCAAAACTTAATAAGGTAAAGCTGTTGACTTTGATTAGAGTTTTTAGTCATTTAATGTTCATGTATTTATTGCATCACAGCCATGTGCCAAGTACTGTGCTTAGTACTGGAGTTGCAATGATGGACAAGATAGATATGGTACGTC